AACAAAGGAGTTATTTTTACCTTCATATGAAATTGGTTTATCCGAACAACTTCAACATGGCTAAATGGTGTTATTATATTTTCATTTTTATTAAAATATTTATATTAACTGTAACGTAACTGTTCATACATTTTTAAATATGGTCATTTCAAGGGTGACTGAGGTATAGAAATATGGTCACAGTAGTCTTCTTCCGGCCGACAGAAGACCCTTGAAAAAATGGGACGTCCGTTTTGCTGAACGGAATATGTAAGTTCTAAGTCGGTCAGAATGGGTACGTTAAATAGGATCCCTCGTATAGAGAAAGTGCCACTCTCTCTGCACGTTACAAATTCAAATTCAAATTTTAAAACTCTTTATTGTCATTGCACTGTATACATATATTTATAGCATGTGACACAACATAACAAAATAAAAACAAACAATATCAACAAGATTATTTATATATATATTCTATAAGTAAATATTTCAAGGTTCTCTTCCTCAGTTCTATAGACTGTTTTAAAAGGGATCCAAGCTTATTTACCTTACTGAAAAAATCAGCCTTCTGCAAATATTGTCTGCAAGTCTGCTACGAACTTGCTGCAGCCTTGCATCAAACACAGAGTCTGTATTTGCTGCATGTTTGCTGCAAATGTGCTGCAGGTCTGCTACAAACAATTAACCATGCAAATGGGTGTTTGCTGCAGAACTGCAGCAAACATTTATATGCAAATGAGTGTTTGCTGCGGACCTGCGGAAACATTTATATGCAAATTAATCTTTTTTCTGCGTGTTTGTTGCAGACCTGCGGCAAACATTCATATGCAAGATAATATTATTCCTGCGTTATTGCTGCAGACCTGCAGCAAACATTTATATGCAAATGCGTATTTGCGGCAAACTTGCAGGAACTACGTATACATACATTACAATTAACCAATGTCATGTTGTCTACACATCACATTATTCAAATTACACAGCAAATTCTGAAAAAGTTAGGTGACATACATACATGCAACAATTCAATTACTTCATCATTTGCAAAATTATCGTAGCATAAGTAAATACCTTTTAAGAAATAATTCTAAACTTTTTGTTGTTGAAGTGCTCAAATGAATTGAGTATTTAAAATACAAAAGAAGGGTTTGAAATGCATTTTTTACATACAACTAGATAAATTAATTTCATTACAAAATTCCACTTGACTTATTGAAATATAATATTTAACAGGTTAAAATCTCGAAACATATTAGAGAATACTGTATATTTGTAACATATTTGAACATGTTATTCAAACCTTCAGGTATTTGTGGAGGTGACGAATTTCATAAGTTTACAGTTCTATGAAGAATTTGTACTTACAAAAATTGTCTTTGAAAAATATACCTTTAATATCCAACCAAAAATGCTTCCCTGAACACTAATATATAAAATGACTCAAACACCATCAACATAACTAAGCACCGAGTTTTCAAATCTTTAACTTCCAGGAAGTTACCAATAGGCATGCTCAGTTATTTTATGTAATCCTTGCAATGCTCTTGCAAACATATAGAATTGTCAAAGATTTCGGTAATCTACCTGCGAACATCTCTTGTACTCTAGTTTTTTCCTGCAATCTTACTGCAAACATAACTGTTTCTGCAAACTTGCCGCAAGTTTGCAGTAAAAAGCTGCAATGATTGCAGAAGGTTTGCAGCTAGCTGCAAACATTATTCAAAGGGTTCCTGCAAGCTTTTTGCTTGCAGCAAGTCTGCTGCAGATCTGCAGCAAACATTTCAGTTCTGTACGGGAGCTTGGGTTGAGGATATATGTAATTTTATCTATATTATTTAAATACATAAAGTGTGTGTTCTCATTTATCAAACAATTATAATAAACTTTTTTTAATATTACTGCTAATATCACAATATAAAAAGAAATGATTTCCATCTTCATTTTTTTTTGCAGTTTTTGCATAATCTTCCTCCTCTTGGCATTTTAAGATATCTTCCCTTTTCTATTAATAAATTGTGGTCACTCATTCTATATTTTGTTATCAGATTTCTAAATTCAAATTTTGAGAAAGTTGAACATTTCTCTTCCGTATTATTAAGTTTTACATGTATATAAATAGTGAGTTTGATGTTGTCCTTTATATCTGATATTTTATCATTTATTAGATTTTGAAAAAAAAATGCCTCAATTTTAATTTTATTTGTTCGATTACAGTTTTAGTTATCTTTTGTGAGTAATATTTCTTCTGTGTGTTCAAATCCATGTTTTACATACGAAAAGGATTGTTGAAGGGCCCGAAGCGGGTCTGAGAAAAACAGTGGCAGTCGAGAATTCTATCAAATGTTCTTAAAGGTGCAAGTATTTTGCAAAGCAAAATACACGACGAGCAGATTTATTTCAAGACATAATTTCGTTTCTTATTCAATTGAAAATGTACTGACAATACCTTGAAAAAAATGGACGTCCGTTTCGCTAAGAGTGATGTATAAGTTCTCAGCCACGTCTGGTCTGAATGGGGACATTAAAGTGTATGCCTTTGTAGAGAGAGTGCCACTCTCTTTGATTTAAGATGAGATATTTCTGTTCCATTTCGTTTTATTTTGTTTAGTAATGTTCTTTCATTTGTTACCGCCATATTATCATGCATAAGAATAGTTTAACGGTACATTTAATCATTTATCCCTGTTAAATCTATTATTTTATTTTGTATATTCGAAATTTTCAAAATTAATTACTCCAGAGGATTGAGAAAACTGTTTGTCAACCTTCATCGCACTTAGTAAAGCACAGATCTTTATTGAAGCAAAAAATAAAGAACAGATCTATACTGGATACAGTGAGTTTTTGTTGTCACAAAATTTGTACATTATAATAAACCATTTTTTCTCACGTCTTTCTGATAGTCTCTGTTAAGATAACTCACCTGTTACATATACTTGGCCACTCTAGAATTTCATATTTGGTATAAACACTCTTGTATTCTGGAAGATCATCTGCTCCGAATATATTATCAAAATTGGCTTTAAAATCTTTACAATCTGCAGGACTATATACAGTATTCAAATTGGTTTAGATGTTGTAGAGTTTCAATTGTTTCGAGATTCCAGCAGGTATTTCACTTAATGTAAGACGTAAATAGCCATCCTCTATCAAGGAAAATCACCGTATGCAGGTGACATTTGAATGTTGCTTCATAAAATTGGAAAGTCCCGAAATGAAAAATTGAATTAAATTCTCTTGTTGTAAAGTTTATTTCTCAACCTTAATATAAGTCAGATAACGTAGCAGATTTATTCATAGATGTATCTGTAACTGTTTAGTTCAATAGAAAAGATTCGATAAACACGGTAACCCAAGTTCCAAAATTTGGACGATGAAAATAAAATACAGTATTTATATTTGAGCGTGCACATAGAAGGATAAAGTTAAGTATACTTTACATGATACCATTGTAAAATGACTGAATGAACTGTTTAACCTGTTTGTTTTTACAAAAACACACAATAGTTTATACATGTCGAATTCATGGTTCGTTTAACATGTTTTAAAAGCAAACAAGCAAACTTTATTCTTATTGTTTGCACTACTAAGTTCTCAATGATTTAACTAAATGTGACTTGAATTTACCAAATATACTACAGAATGGCAGATGCTTTATAAGGTTCGTGTTTGACATAAAATTGAAGCAAAAAGTACAAATTTTCGTAATTATATGTGTCCTGTTTACGACATTTTGAATATGTGTGGACTCGCATGGCGGGTAATACATGCATAGCACGAGACTCTTACCTTTTCGAAGCACAAAGATTTGCTCCTTTAAGATTGCATGCGACGTTTTTTTTTACCAGGATTTGTATGTTATAAATGGATTTATGAGATTTGAACATTGTTAAACTATTGTTTCATCTGATCTTTGTACACGTATGCACTTTCATGCATCCACAATCTGTCAATATCTGTATCTTGGCATTGCACAAGGTCATTTTTTTTCTCTGACTGTTTATGACGTCTTTACACTAAATCCATTGGATGTTGGATGTGTACTAATTAATAATTTAGTCTAAGATGCATGATTTTTTTATTAGTTGTTATTGGTTTTGAACTAGCTGTCAGTAACTGCGAGTACTCTCAGATCTGTACTTAGTGTCTTTTTGTTGTTGGGAGGTACAAGTATCCGGCGACGTCAACTCTGTGTTTTTGTTAGATGTATTTCTATTTGTATCCTTCTGATGAGTTAAGCCTTTTTCAACTGACTTTTATAGTTCGTTCTTATGTTGTACTGTAAACCACTGTCCCAGGTTAGGGGAGGGTTGGGATCCCGCTAACATGTTTAACCCCTCCACATTCTGTATGTATGGGCCTGTCCCAAGTCAGGAGCCTGTAATTCAGTGGTTGTCGCTGTGTTACATATTTGTTTTTCGTTCATTTTTTTGTACATTAATCAGGCCGTTAGTTTTCTCGTTTGAATTGTTTTACATTTGTCATTTCAAGTCCTTTTATAGCTGACTATGCGGTATGGTCTTTGCTTATTGTTGAAGCCCGTACGGTGACCTATAGTTTTTAATTTCTGTGTCATTTGGTCTCTTGTGAAGAGTTGTCTCATTGGCAATCATACCACATCTTCTTTTTTACAATCAACAAAACAAAAGACTAGTCTCATTTAATGATATCACAAATAAGTATAACGTGAACGGTAAACCAACTCGTGATGGCGTCCATAAAACTTTCGAAGCGATGACTTCAACGATCACAAGAACCTATCTGGACCAAATCACCAGCACAGAACAATTTCTCCCTAGACAACTTTACCCATTGTGATACAGTATTATATAGCTAGATTTAATTGGGTGATTGGATACAATATGATAATACTTTTTGTCCAGCCAAATTGTTCTTAACGAAACACCTATTCTTTGTCTTCGTATTTCAATATTTATTACAATGCTTCAGCAAATATTCATAACATGATTTTCCAAGCAAATTGAAACCAAACTTTGGTCAACACGCAATTGTAAAAAAGCTTTAATATATTATTTTTTATTCATAATAATTTGATGATTTACAGACAAAGATAGAAATAGACATTTCTACAGCAGCAAGTTGAAAATTTTTTTTACAAGTTAACATCAGTTTGCAGTTAAAATTTTATGCATCGCAAGTACAAACATATTCCGAGTGCAATCTTCCACTTTTGGTGCTTCAGTACTATGCATTTCGCCAAGTAACCAGGATACAGCAACATCAATCAAAGTGCTTCGTATACTATCTGTTCTTGAAAGGGCTTGGATAATTTGCGAGTTAACATCCTTGCCGTTAGGGTCACGTTCCCTGGTTTCTTCAATTAAAAATGGAACTGCTTCTGTTAAAACATCAATTAAAGCTCTCCTCAGAACTTCTCTATTCTCAATGACGAATCCTCTTAGAAGTGAAACGACAGATTCGACTATGGCGTTTTCACCTGGATCGGAATGCATTTCTTGAAATTCTTTGATCTTGCTCCTAGAAATAATGTCAAAGTTTTTGTTAACTTCATCAGTACTTTGTTTGTTGAAAAAATTCTGTAAATTCCTCATAGGGTCTTCTTGAATTTCAAAAATCTTCTGTACTATGTCATGTATTTCATTTTCATGTATACCGACAAAGAGATTGCTAGGAACAAAATAATGTTGCAGAGCATTTTTACACAAGCAATCAACCATATACCTCAGAACATTTTGAAGAAATTGAAGAATATTTTCTTCTGTTCTGTTTTCAAGTATTTGAGTTTCAGTTATCTCGGACACCCAGTATACAACAGTTTTCCAGTGAAACGTTGTCAGTATTTCAGTATAATCTCGCAATGAAATTTTCTGTAAGGCTTTTATGATAAGGATGACGTCTCGTTGTAGTTGAGTCATTGCTTTAGCTAACTTGATTTCTCCTATATTGCATGCAAGACAAAAATCAATATCTTTTGATGGTTCCACAAGGGCAGGTTTAGCAACGACGAAAAACTCACTGTTATATATATCTGTAACCACATCTGTCGGAGGCCAATTTCTTTTCCGGTTTTGCCACTCATCTAAATACTTAGGTTTACCTTTTAGAGGAAAGACCGGAATGAAATCTTTGCTTGTTTTATATCTATACTGAATAGTGACTTCATCGTCTTCATCATTCCCTCGAGCATCTTCTTCTCTCTGACTCCCATTATTTAATCTACCTGATAAACCGGAGGTCGATGGCACATCATTAGAAGTTGAAAGATCATTGCTAGAATCTAATTTTGGTTTCTTTGGATGTGATTGAGATGTTTGACGCAATATGTCTTCACTGGTTTTAAATGCTTTAATGACGGGATCGTATGTCTGATGGAAAATAGTCTTCTTGGTGTTAGGAGACTGGTTTAATTCTTCCCATCCCTCAACAACACTGCTGATCGCTTTAACTCCGCTGCATATCATTTTTTTAAATTCACATGATTCTCCTTGAAGATTTTTCTCGACGTTTTGCTTGATTTGTCCGGTGTCTTTCTTTTGTTTGTTTTGTTCCATGCTTAATTCTGGGCATTTAGGATCTGCATAATGCACCAATGACAACCCAGGTTTAATTTTATGATCTAAAGAAATATGCAGTGTGTTTTGACCACGTGTTGAATCCATCTGAGTTACTATTTTATGAATATTTCTACTATGTTTGAAAGCTTCCGATCTGATGTCACTAAGTAAGTCACTTGGCAAATATTTTCCGTCGATCAGCTCAACTCCCGGAAACAGATTTTTCAACGTACTTCCATTAATATATACAAAACATGGTAAGTTCTTCCTATATTCTAAGCATTCAATTGGGATGGAAATTCCAGAAATTATCAAATAATCAAAATCTCCTTCATTTCCTTTTAGCCTCAATCTTGTGTTCTCCTTAGTACTTCCAGCTACCATACATCGTTCTTGCCCAAAATGAGATAAAAACAGAGATATGTATTTACAGTATTTCTTTTGCCTCCTGTCGTTTATAACTGGTTTTGCCATTTTTTTAAGGCGATCAATCAAATCTAGAATGCCTTTGCTTGCCATTTCTGATATATATCTGAAAACCATTACAGAAATTTTAACATTTAAATTAAAGCGTACCTTTAACACGTCGCGTCGTTAATATCGTATTTATGAAATGAGTATACATGTACTTACTTGTAGGTAAACATACTTTATGTATTTAATTACTTATGAACTAAAGTTTAAATCAGAATTTTCATATGAGGGTCTGGATGTGGGGTCTTACATTTCTGTATTTTTTAGACCATTTTTCTCTATTCTTTATACTTTTTGCCCATTATTCTCTCTTCTTTATATTTTAGCACCTTATTATTCTTTATTCTTAATATTTTTGGTCCAGTTTTCTCATTTCTTTCTATTTTTTGCCCATTATTCTCCATTCTGTAAACCCCCATCCACACCCTCTTTTTTGCGTTAGTAGCCCGAATAATTATGGCGATCTCCTTTTGGATATAACTTTACCCGGGTGTCATATATACTATTTTTTGATAATTTCTCATAGCAGTTTCTTTATATTTGTATACTTTTGCTGTTTTTATTTTGCATTTCCGCTTCTCCCAGTCCCTGCTTAGTATTATATAATTTATTTTAGAGAAAATATGTATAGGAAAGAGTAAGAAAGGATAATAAAAATCAATGTTAATGCTGTAGTTTCTGTAATATAAATATTTGTAGCTTAAATAATTCAAAACTTACCAAGCCTGCACCTCTCACAACACGAGATTTATCTCCGAAAATAATCTAAGTGTGATCAACAAACTGCTTTCTGTATTTCGCAAACTTTCTCTGAAATGAAAATGAAATTGGAATTTTTTTTCTTCATTTTTCAAACAAATGAACATCTGAAAAGTTCCAATTTAGTAATAATCCAGTATTCAATCATAGTTAAATATATTAAAATTTTTGGTTCGATAAACAAATACTCGTGACCATTCCCTTTAAATCTATTTAAGATATATATCAATTTAAAGTTTGTTTATGACAACTAGAATCTCCAAGGAGCCTAAAACGTTCACCGAATTACTAAGGTTGAAAAGATATATACAAATAGCAACCGAGACTAGTGGCGTATTTCGTAAACATATGATTAAAATTAATTGGTCATTAGTATTGCAATGGAAACTTGTCACATTAGAGTCAATTTCCTAATGCATGTAGAGTAAGAGATTGGTTGGCTTGCTTGCCTTGCTTGCTTTGTTTGTATTTATGTTTGCTCAAACATTGAAATTAAGATTGACATCTGAAAACAATATAAATATTTGGAGTTAAACTGGTATACATCATATTTAAATTTGATTGAACACTATCAAATAACCAAAAAAATACCTATATACAGGTTTAATTCCGACTACTTATATTGTTTGCAGATGTCAATCTTAATTACAATGCTTGAGCAAACATAAATACAAACAAAGCAAACAAGGCAAGCACGTTAACCAATCTCTTACTCTGAATGCATTAGGAAAGTGAGTCTAAAACTAAATTGCACATTTAAATAACAAGGAGCATAGATCTGGAACCGAGCAAAGCTAAAGTCGTTAATTAAAAACAATCTGAGGGATAATGTAATCATTATTTCTGTTATATACATACAATGGATTAGCGTGGATTCTTGAAAAAGAAACCATGAGCCCGGAGGGCGAATGGATTGTTTTTCATGAATCTACGCTTATCCATTGTATCTATAACTTAAACTATTGTGTTAATTTCTTTTCAAAATTAAAGCCTTTTCTTAATTAGAAGATATTGTAAGTGAGTTTAAATAACCAGGTTATCGTGTCCAACGATGCATTGATAAATCTCAGATCACAATTAATTGGTTAACAAAATACAAATATAACACTTCTACCTTTAAAGATCTTTAAATTACCAGGCATATGAATATTATCTGTTTATAAAAAATAAGACATATTCGAAATTATTTCTAATAAAATTGAAAATGGAAATGGGGAACGTATCAAAGAGACAACAACCCGACCAAAAAGCATATATAAAGTATATATAATAAGTATATTATCGAAATTTTTCTAGCACTCTAGGCACATCACGATTTTCTCGCATAGGAATTTGCGAACAAACCTTTGTAAAATTATGTAGTAAAACAGATGAAATCATACTTTATTTATAAAACAAAAATTGACAAATAGAATGTAATCATTTTTGTTTCAAACATGTGAAATAGCCAATAATAATTACAAAAAACGGTAAAACTCGCTATTATTACAAAAACATGCAACACTAGAAAAAAAAACCAGGATAACTTAAGAATTGGAACAACAGAGAGAATACAGGGATTCGAACCTAAACCGACAAATCCCTATCTTTAACTCATTGATTTTAACCATGCTAACCTCGCGTCTACCAACTCATACTATACGACTGCCTATTGTGTCTATATAAAGGTACAAGCCCTGTGTGTCCGATGAACGGATGTATATCAGATGTTCATTTAAATATATAAAATAGACATCTTTAGTGTAACCCATTGGTAGCCGAGAGGTTTCGTCGATGTGTTGATGTCAGTCACACATAAAAGATTTCAAGGAGGGGTTCGATTCCCAGTGAAGGCATATAAAAATTACAAAAATTAAAGGTAAGTTTTTAAATTAATTCCATTAGTGAACAGAAATCAGTAAATTAGCCAATTCAAACTTAATGAAATTAGGCACACAAAGGAAACAATTGAATATAATTTGGTGAGTCAATTTCAGCTGCAGATTTAGGAAGCGTTGATTCTAGAAAAAGAATCCACGGTAAATGAATAGGCTGACGTCACCACAATGGTTTAAACAAAGTGTTAAGTCGACATTTTGTTTGCGTTTTCATTGTAAAAAACAAAAACCTGAACTTCAAATGAACACTCTGGAAACAGAAAAAAGTTATATTGTGATCCAATCTGATGCTGATCATCAACTACCCCTGTATCTATTTGAAGAAACTCTTTCATGTCATTTGCAAAAAGCTAAGACATCCAATTTAGACTGAATTAGTAGGATTTTTATATAAAAAATCACAAGTTAAATTAACATGTATTATTATGTAAATTGTAAGTCTTACAAATGATAACATTTCATATTGCACGAAAAAATATTCTAGGAGTGTACAGACCGACCTTCTAATTTACAAATAACTACATTACCTATAAATCCTAGCTAGAAACACGGATTAAACAGAAACACATCTTTAATAGACGACTGTGGCTGTTTTGTTAAAGCCATTTTTATGTAGATACCCCATACGTTTTGTCATGAGTAAGAACTAATTGACAGTGCAGTTTGATTTTATATAAAAGCGATGTGTGATGGACATTGATATCCTACCGTTTTATCGCATATCACAACAGCCGACTTCAATGACCAACGGCCGATTTTCCTTAAAAAAATGACGGATGCACATACATAACACAAGGACTGGATGGGGATTTTTCGTTTCAGTATTGTCTAATTATAAGGCCATTTTTCTTCATTCTTGATTTTGTTTGCCAATTTTCTCTTATTTTTGTCAAACATTTTGTAAATCTCATCTAAAAAATTAACTATGTTATACTCTGATTAAAATGTTTAATAAACTACAACAAATGTCGTTCTATAAAACGAAGCGTATCGATGATATTATATATAATTTACTGCTCACGATATTATTTGTATATGCATATTTGACAACTATGAATGTAATAGGGATTAAAGGTCAGTTTTAAATTCTACTTGTAATTGGTTGATCTAATTTTGACAACTAGTACATTAAAAGTTGAACAAAAAAATATGATTTAAGTCCAGATATAGTGTATACATTGCTTAAATTATCTAAATTCAAAATCATGGGTCAAGATACTGGTATGAAAATTTCTTTTGTATCAAAAGATCTAGTAAACCTTATGATCAAATAATGATGGACTTTTTAATTTACACTAAAACGTAGTTGCTCAAGTCTACAAATAAAGTAAATCACATTTTCGTAGAAAATTTGAACTTTTCCAAAACTTAAATGTAATATTATTGTAACGTTATTTTCTTGCACTATATCACAAAAAAAACTCATGTGTATGTATTAAAATAATTTTATTATCGCAACTGCGAAGTAGTTCATCTTCAGTCAAATTTAAACTGGTGGAATTTTTTGCTATAGAAAAAGCTAATACAATTACGTTGAAGAAAAATGAAATAACAACATAAACATAACAAGACATAAGCATGACAACGCCGCTTTTTGTTCTTTTGAATCTGAAAATGGCAAATGAATAAAAAAAAACATCCCTCTAAAGTTCACAATATGATAATACACATTATGATATGAACGTTAACTTTATTTATGAGCTTACTATATAGTTTGAGTAATTCTTTATTGCCAGCCCGTCTTGGATGTTTGCAGGACAGATAGTTTTGAAACCAGCAAATAACGATGATTGTCTAACATTTAGTATATGAGAACCACAAGATTAGTATATATTTATTGCTCTTTGAAAACAGTCTCTTTCTTTGGATATTTTGGATAAATTACGTGCCTTTGATGGTCCTTTTAATTTTGTTGACAGTGTTGACTTTCAACTCTTTACACTACACTTCAACATAATCTTCTCAAACAAAAGTTGTCCTATTTAATTAAATGGTCGTTTGGTAAATATGAATGTAAATATATTTGCTGCAACTCATTTAAAGCCTCCTTTATCGAAAAAGGTAAATATGCTTAATATACTTACTTATATTTTTCTCCTTGGTTGTATTTATGCACCTTTCGGCAATGAAGTTTATCGACAGGTTGTAGGTATTCCTATGGGCACCAATTTCGCCCCTTTAATAACAGACTTGTTCTTGTACTGTTATAAAATCACAGTTTATGGCTAAGCTCAGTAAAGACCCGTCTTAATTGCATTTAATTAATAAATTCAACATCAATTATCGTTATCTTGATGAAATTTTTCGTAAAATAATAAAGATTTTTTTTAAATATAATGCCGAAATTTACCCAAAGGAACTTACTTTTAATAAATCAAAAATAAACCGTAATAAACTGTCATTACCTAAATTTAGATATTTAAGTTTTACACGACAAGGTCTACACTAGAATTTATGACAAAAGGGACGAATATTGGTTTCTTATTGTTAATTTTCCTTTTTTGGACGGTGATGTTCCTTTGGCATCATCTTACGGTGTTTATATATCACAACTCGTTCGCTAAGTTCGTGTCTGTTGTGACGTTTTGGATTTCAATGAACATAATCTATGTATTACTAGCTATATTAAATTATTAAGTTAGGGATTTCGTTACCACAAATTACTTTAAACCTTTACTAAATTTTTCCATAGATATAAAGATTTGATTTGGTTGTACCTGTAGAAAACATATTTTTAACGGAATAGCACATCCTAATTTTTAAGGAGATGTTGTTTACCGAGCCCGGAAATTTAGGTACGATCCGGGTCAACTTATCGAACCTTTAAATAAACTTATTGTAAATGGTTACCAATTCAGCATTATAATTAGATCTTTGAATATTGTTTTTATTGGTATAAATATTGATTTTGTTATCGGTAAATTAAAATCAAACTTAATATTATTTTTATATACATATGCACATTCATGGCCCTACAATCTGTCGATACTTGTATCTTGGCATTGCACAAGGTCATATTTTTCTCTGACTGTTAATGATGTCTTTTCACTAAAACCATTGGATGTTGGATGTGTACTGATTGATACTTTAGTTTTAGATGCATGATTTTTTTTATTAGTTGTTATTGGCTTTGAACTAGCTGTCAGTACTCTCAGATCTGTACTTAGTGTCTTTTTGTTGTGGGGATGTATAAGTAGTTTTTGTTGGAAGTATTTCTACTTTGTATCGATCTGATGAGTTAAATTCTTTTCAACTGATTTTTACAGTTTAGGGGAGGGTTAGCGCGCCTTCAAACTAGTTTAACCCCGCCACATTCTGTATGTG